GGCTCCTGCTTCCCTTATTTCATTATTTCCACCTTCTCCCTATTTTTCCCTATTTTCCCTCTTTCTCACTAGGCTCCTGCTTCCCTTATTTCACTCTTTTCCTATTTTCCCTCTTTTCCTCTCTTTTTCCCTCTTTCCCCTTCTGCTCCTGCTTCCCTGGTTTCACTATTTTCTTGTTTTCCCTATTTTTGCTACATTCCTGCTTCCCTTATTTCCCCATTTTCCCTCTTTTTCACTACACTCCTGCTTCCCCTATTTAACTTTTTCCACTATTTTCCCTCTTTCCCCCTCTTTTTCCCTCTGTTCCCACTTCCCTTATTTCACTATTTTCCTGTTTTCCCTCTTTCCCCCCATTTTCCCTCTTTCTCTCCATTTCCCCTCTTATTTCCCTATTTTCCCTCTTTTCCCTCTGCTCCTGCTTCCCTTATCCCACTATTGTCCTAGTTCCCCTTTTCCCCCTCTTTTCCTGCTTTCCCTCTTTCTCACTATTCTCCTGATTCCCTTATTTCACTCTTCTCCTATTTTCCTTCTTTTTCAGTTTTCCCTACGTTCCTGCTTCCCTGATTTTCCTGTTTTCCTTATTTTTTCCTACACTCCTGCTTCCTTTCACTCTTTTCCTATTTTCCCCCTTTTTCACTGTTTTCCCTCTTTTCCACTGTGCTCCCCATTCCCTTATTTCACTATTCCCACTATTTCCCTGTTTTCATTATTCCCACTATTTCCCTATTTTAATTATTCCCACTATTTCCCTATTTCCACTATTCCCACTATTTCCCTATTTTCACTATTCCCACTATTTTCACTATTCCCACTATTTTCCCTTATTTCCACTATTCCCACTATTCCCACTATTTTCACTATTCCCACTATTTCCCTATTTCCACTATTCCCACTATTTCCCTATTTTCATTATTCCCACTATTTCCCTATTTCCACTATTCCCACCATTTCCCTATTTTCCCTTATTTCCACATTTCCCCTCATTTTCCCCTCTGCCTCCTCTTCNTATTCCCACTATTTCCCTATTTCCACTATTCCCACCATTTCCCTATTTTCCCTTATTTCCACATTTCCCCTCATTTTCCCCTCTGCCTCCTCTTCCCTTATCCCACATTTCCCTGCTTTCCCTATTTTCCCGTTCTCCCGCTTCCCCACCAGGCCGAGCCCATCCAAATCCACGCCATCCACGGCTTTCCATGGACATTTTTCCCTACTTTTCCAGCCTGGGCCCATCCCTTCCCACCCCTCCTGCCTCTCCCCATCCCTGGAAGTGTCCCCGGATGGGGCTTGGAGCATCCCCGGGATGGCGGGAGCTTGGAATCCCGGGGGGTTGGTTGGAATCCCGCCCATTCCCTGCTTCCCATCCCGATCCCGGGCGGTATTCCCGCAGTTCCGGCGGCTCCCTGACCCTGCCGGTGATCTCCTGCTCCCGCTGCATGAGGAAGGTGGGGCTCTGGAGCTTCCACCAGCTGGAATCCTCCGCTCCAGAGCCGGATTCCTGCGGCTCCTCCGGCAGCTGCGGCTTCCCGGCCGTGCCCACGTCGCCCCGCAGGATCGTCACCCGCAGCCAGGACACGATCCCGGCCGGAGCCGAGCAGGTACAGCCGGAATGGGGGCACCAGGACACCCGGGGGGACATCCACGTGTCCGACACCATCCATGGGTTCCCTCAGCCACGGCCGGGATGGTCCTGCTGGGAAGGGAACGTGGATGGACAAGGATTGGTTGAGCTGGGCAGGATTCCCCAAATCCCTCCATGTTGGCAGACAGGGATCTCCCGAATTCCCTGGTTTTCCCCCCTGGCAGCAGGAGAAGAGCCCATCCCCATCCATCTCCCACCCACAGGGTTGGAATTCTCACAACTCCGTGGACTGTGGTGTCCAGAGCATCTCCATAATTCCCTGTTTTCCCCCCCTGGCAGCAGGAGAAGAGCCCATCCCCATCCATCTCCCACCCACAGGGTTGGAATTCTCACAACTCCGTGGACTGTGGTGTCCAGAGC